TATATACACATATATATATATATATATACACATATATATATATATATATATATACACATATATATATATATATATATACACACTTTTTTTTCCATCTAGTTGCGAAGAAAACATTTCACATTGTTTACTTTAACAAAAATGAACAAAAAGAAAATGTTAATTGAATTAAAAATATAAAATAAAAACTTATTCAAACTATAAATAAAACTATAGTTTTAGGTCTCGATACTAAGATAACACTGAAAAAAAATTACTTAAAAACAAAAAAAACAACTACGCTGTAATTCACTTTTACAACCTACTGACAACTAAACATTTAGGGAAAAGCAAAGCGCACTCTTGTAAGGGGTGCGCAGAATTTATAAGACGAAACAAGAGCATTATTGTGAAATGCAATGCGGCACAATTGTTTTATCTTGATTATCGTGTTTCCTATCATTGGAAGCCATAACTAAAAATTTAATTAAATTGTCCAGTCCTAAGGAAATGTGACGTGATAAAACTAGTAGTTCTGAGTCTAAATTCTGATGAGACATTCGAAGCAGTCAGAATACACTCACTCCACCTCAATTTAAAGGGATAGTTCATCCAAAAATGAAAATTTGATGTTTATCTGCTTACCACCAGGGCATCCAAGATGTAGGTAACTTTGTTTCTTCAGTAGAACACAAACGAAGATTTTTAACTCAAACTGTTGCAACTCTCATAGATTTTGTTACCATTGCCATGCATTATACGACTGATAGACTGCAACGGTTGGACTTAAAAATCATCCTATGTGTTCTACTGAAGAAACAAAGCCACCTACATCATGGATGCCCTGGGGGTAAGCAGATAAACATCAAATTTTCATTTTTGGAAGAACTATCCCTTTAAATCAATATTAAAATGGGTAAGTTCCAATGTTTCTAGGCCACTAAAAACTGACTAGTTTGAGACTCATCTGACTCCACATTATTTTTGTTGCACTGATGTGTAAATAACGCAAGTCCCGTCCACAGATATTAGTGGATTTCTGGTTGACATTTTCACACTGCACACATTATTGCACCCAGCTCTATATAAACCACTTCATACCTTTGCGGCCACCTCAGCGCTGATCTCTTCCTGTGTCTCAGCGAGACGCTTCTTGGCCAACTCAGTCCTGCGGTCACAGTCGGCAATAAACGACTCCAGGTGATCCACCGCCTGCACAGCACAACACAACACAGACTCAGCATCAGAATTAAAAAAGCCTTTGCTGCAAATTCATTGAAAACACCAGCAGATGAGCTCGACTCAATACAGAGTCACTTACATCCAGTTCGAAGAACAGGTCTCTCTCCTTAGACGAGATCTCATAGTCTGCTCTCAGCGCCAGGTCATGGATCTTAGAGCATTCGCCAAGGTCCATGCGCTACAAATAAAGGGAAGAGGCGAAGACTTCATCAATATGCTGCACAAATAATCAGCGCTGACTGTTGTAATATGTTTTCCCTCACCGTTCCAGAGAGGATGTCATGCGGGCAGCAGTTGAGCAAGTGCGATTTGCAGACGCGCTCGTCTGTGAATTTAACCCGCTGTCTCGACTCATCTCCTGTAAGGACACAGCACATAATATACATTGAATGAGACCACACACACACTCGCACACGTCTCACACACACACTGCGTCCGCTACACACTGCTAACTTTGCGGCCAAGGGTCACAGACCTGCCTGTCACTGCGGTGAAATCATGAGATCTGACATATTTTGTGTTTGACAGTGTCAAATATAATCTCTGCTAGACAAGAAAGTAAAGGCTTTCCTTTCATGTAGATTGGAGACATTTAACCTCCACTGACCCAAGGCCGGTTTCTTTAACTGGCTCCTTAATGTGAATGTCTAAAAATAAAGCGGTAGCGTCTGATCAAGGACCAAACCAAGAGGCTAGCAGTCCCTGTTGTTATTATTAGTTATTTATTCTGTACAGCCACCATATAAATGGACTGATGTTTTCTACGGTGAGCATTAGGACTGGGTAATAGAGCTAAAAAATTATATCTTGATGCCTAAAAAGGTTCAAAATTATTAAATAAAAATTATTACAAGACATCTAATTTATATGCACCAATATAACACGCATAGTAAAACAAAATGCACTGCATTTTATTATAAAATCAATTAACATGAAAAATGCAAAAGAAAGTTGAATAATTTGGAAAGGAATCAAACCTGCTTAATTCAATGCCATTTCTGCAAATAAAGTTCAAATCAGAAACACTACGTTTGGGAAGTTTAATAAAAGCATTAAAATCATTGCATTATTATTCAAGATGTTTCTAAACATTATAAAGCCAGAAAAAACACATAGGTTTAATATCACCCAGCCCTAGTTTGCATGATGCATCTACACTTTTATAACTGCCAATTGAGTGCAAAGGTGTATGGGATAGCAGATCAGAGAGGGATGTCATGTTTCAGAGAGCCATCTTGTACTCAGTAATAGCACTATCCCTCATGAGTACATACAGAAATGCTGCATAATCTAATGTGCATATTAAACCACAGTTGACCAATAAGACATTGAAAACTAAAGTGAAAGGTTAATTGATACACACTGTGAGGTCTCTCCCATTCAGAACCCCTCCTGCGGTCCCAGCCTCTAAAAGTTTAAAGGGAAAAGCTTTTCTTGCCCAAACCTGTAATGAGGAAGCTGGGAATGATACACAAGAATAAAAGTGAAGACGTCGGCGGAGGAATTTGAGTTTTCTTTCCTTTATCTTATTTTATCTTTCTTATAAGTGAGATTTGAGGAAAGCGGCTCAGGCACAGCATCACTGAACTACATCCGCCTGGGCAGAAGCTGCGTGTCCTCTCTGCTCACTCTTACGTTACCAACTAGCGTGATGTGTAACACAGTTACTGCTGGAAAGCAAACAGTATTGTTTTTCATATTCATAACAGCTTTAAAAAGCATTGGTGACTCACGGCTCGATGAACATGAGGCTTTTCTGCAACTCCCTTGCAGATGTAGGCTGGCAAACATACACTGAACCTTAATGAATAGAATAAAGGGGCCACAATTGTTCAGTCTGTATGAAACAAATGTACGGGAAGCATATAAATTCATCTTAGCATTCACACAGACAGTCGCTTCATTCACACGGAGGCTGAGATTTCTTACAGCCAGTAAAACTCAATTTAACAAATTCAAGCGCATCTGCTCAAGTCCCTTCTGTTGTTTACTCATCTTAAGCAAAATCCTCTTGAGCTGATCAAAATCATATTGCATAATCTAAGTCATATTTCCTCTTGGCACTGCTCCTTCAGATTTAATGCTTGCATCCATTTTTGGGGAAATTACTTTTTATATATGAAATCCAATTTATTAATAGCTGATAACAAGAGAGATGGCCAAAGATGCTTTATAAATGGTTATATATTCTATCTTTTAAATATTTTATACATTCATAAATACGCATATATTAATTTTCACCCAATACTAATTTACTAAAAAAAAAAAAAGCAAAATGAAAGAGCACCAGCCATTGACAAGGTTGTAAAAATAGCCAAAAAAAACAACAACTTATGCTGTTTTATATATTTTATATACACATATACAATTCATTCACGCACACATTTTCTCATATATATATATATATAAAACATTTTTATATATACATTTATAAATATTAAGAGAATAGAATCCACTGACAACAATGCTGTCAAAATTGCAAAATATCAGCTAATTAATTGGCCTTGACATCATATTGGTCTATCACTAACTTTAATAATAATAATAATAACATTACTATTTTTAATAGCATTACCAATTACGTTACATAAGGGTTGGATATGCTGGTGCCTATATAATTCCTATTCTTAATTCTTCTAAAAAACAAGACTATTTTCTCAGCTTTTTAATAATAATGTATTGGAGTATACCAGTATAACAAATTAAGAAACTAAAGCGCCATTTTTGATAAAACATAAATAAAATAAGTCATATTCCATTAGCTTAGCATACGGGACCGTGACGTCATCACTCCCCGTCATGTACGCAAACATTAAACCGAAGCGTTTCAAGAAGAAATGCTGCTGCATTTAGCTAATCCTAAAACTCTGATTTATATCTTAAGACATTGTTTTTACTGTTTGACTGGGTTATTATATTCTGGTCTGGGTTAATCTGAGCGCGCGGCCTTCAGAAATCCTCTCAGAGCCGTTAGCACGCGGCTAACACTCACCATCCCTCGACGTTCCCATCAGCTGATCCAGCAAAGCTCTCATCTGGTGCCTATACATGCCTTTTCATGTCTATTTATGTTTTATATATATAAAATATTATATATTTTTTTATAACCATTTCTTACTATGTGTCAGTAAGTTGTTGTTATTTTAGCATGTGTGTTTGGCTCAGTGTTACTGATCCAGCAAAGCTCTCATCTGAGCCTGGGCCGACATCCTGACACGACTAACTCGCTCGCCACACAAAGGTGATGGTGATTTTACCCTAAAAATGAAAGTTTAAATCATCTGCGGACAGCTTCGCTCCAGTGTCTGCCCCCGCCGTCGCTCTCTTCATCAAACGGGCGAGCGGCCAATCAGAGCGCGCTACGCACTCTTAAAGAGGCAGTGCATTTTATCCTCCTGCGAACCTTTAAAAAACAAAGTCATTAACATGTCTATATTTATAAATATATATATTTATAAATATTATGACATTATTTTCAGTTCCCGTTACTAATTAATGTCACACTTTATATAGCACTGATTGTCTTATGCTATTCTCTGTTTGTTATTTGTTCTATTAAAGTAAATATATATATATATATATATATATTATAGCCTAATAATTATAATTATAATAGCATTATAGCCTAATAATTAAATGTATAACAAAACCTATAACATACAAATATATACTAACATCAATAATATTTAATTTTGCAGTTACAACGAATAAGTTGAACTAATCGTTAAAATAATTTAAATAAAATATTTTTCAGACCACGGCCTGACACAAAAAGAAGTAATTACATGTCTGCGTAATGTGTAAAATTAGTAAAACTCTTTCTTAATGAGCTTTCTCAATAATCTCCCAGTAGGTGATTTCACACATTTGACTTTTTGTCTTCAAGAAAAATCCATTGTAACAAAATCGCCCTTTTTGTCCCAGCCGTGTTGCCGTAGGCGGAAGTGTCGTTGCTACCCAGCAGCGCAGGAGGATCCGTCTTTCGCCAGGTTTGTTTTGATCACACAGTTGTGTGTTTTTACCAAAACCATCGCCGTTTACTTCATTTAACTTGGTTTCTGTTTGGTCAACAAGTGGAGCTTGCTAATTAAAAGTTGAAGAGATCCACTAACGGAGGTCATTTTAACTTCTATTTAAGACAAACATATCAAATCTTCTACAAAACATGATCGTGATTTCGGTTTCTGCTAGACAGCTGTTTCTGATATAAGTTGTATTTAGTTAAAGTGTGGTTGTTATTTAATGCCATGAAACAGGCTTAGGATGTATTTTGTACTTTAAAAATCATTATATACATAACGTTATAACCAGTGTTGGGGAAAGTTACTTTTAAAAGTAATGCGTTACAATATTGCGTTACTCCAAAAAAGTAACTAATCACGCTACTTAGTTACTTTTTTATGGAAAGTAATGCGTTACGTTACTTTTGCGTTACTTTTAAAATGTGGGCAGGGCTTGCTTGTTTGTTTTTAAAATAAAAAAGTTATATTTTTGGCAAATATAAAAGCCTTTTCACACCAAAAGTGAAATGAATAAGCCTCAGGCTGAAGGGAAAGTACAGTAGAATGCAGAAGAAGAAATTTCAACACACTTCAGCAATAAAAAAAGACACAAATGTTTGTCTAGAGTAATTTGTGCTTATTCGTACGGTTGAACTGGATCATCGAAGGTCAGAAGCAAATAGAATGGGATTAAATACATAAAGGATATTTGTGTTGTTTAACATTTAATTATTGCAGGTTTGCGTCATATTGTGAGTTGCGTTATTATTAATTTTGAGGAATACTGAATCTGTGTTTTTTTTGTGTGTGAGTGAGATGAATTAATGCATATTCATATTTATTTTAGAACTATAGTAACATCTTCTGATTGCTCAACATGGGGACAGGAGAGCTGTCAGTCAATAAATTGGAAAAAAAAAGTAACTTGCGTTACTTATTTGAAAAAGTAACTCAGATATTCTCTTGTAAATTAAAAAGTAATGCGTTACTTTACTAGTTAATTGAAAAAAGTAATCTGATTACGTAACTTGCATTACTTGTAATGCGTTACCCAACACTGATTATAACACTTGTTTATATTTGTCAAATGCGTTATATGGTGGTGTTTTATAGTGTATTTGTGTGTGGTTAAGTGCTGTTGTGGTTGAAGTGCTTTTGTCATCCAAATGACAGTTTCCAGAATGACTGAGGTGCTTAGTTTGGATGTTTGACAGCAGCTTCTGTCTGGATGGGAAAGCAGCATGAGTGTGCATACAGTAGGCCGTTGGATGCAGTAGATTGTGTTGTTCTGATGATGAAGCGTGTAGTTTACACTGCTGTTCAAACGATTGGGATCAGTAAGATTTGTAATGTGATTTAAAGAAGCCTCTTCTGTTCATCAAGGCTGCGTTTATTTGAGCAAAAATACAGAATAATGGGTTTCTTTCTTTTAATTATACTTTAAAATGTAATTGATTGCTGTGATGCAAAGCTGATTTCAGTGTCACATTATACTTCAGAAATCATTCTAATATGCTAATTTATTATCAATAATGGAAAAATTATAAAAAAAAATTAATATGTACATATACATATATGTATATGATTTTTATAAAAAAAAACACTAGCTTTCTATTTTTTTCTATTCTATCTACTTGTATTTCTTTGTGTGTGTGTATATATATATGTGTGTATAATATATACATATATATATATATATACATATATACTGCGTTAGGCTAACCGAGACTTGTCATTTGCACTTATATATTGTTGCTCTTTTGTTAGTTTTGACTGCTTTTATTGTCCTCATTTGTAAGTCGCTTTGGATAAAAGCGTCTGCTAAA